CGCGTGGCGAAACACGCACGCCAACTGTCATTGGCTTGTTTAGTTAACACTCGAAGGTGATTGGGCTCTCGGGCAAGATCCCAATTCGTCAGTCACGACTGACGTAACGTCTCCGTTCCCTCCTATAGGGAACGAGGGTTACACAAGTAACCGAGACGATTTATATAGATTAAAATACACTCTATCGTTCAATAGTTTGGGGTCAGTAATATTTTTTACTTGAAAATATTTTTACACTGTTAACAAAAAAACTATTTTAAATAGATGCTGTTCTTTACTTTATCAAAGAATCTTTAGCTTTTTATTTATCAAAGAATCCCGAGTTTAAAAGTATCAGGTTTCCAGCTTAAAAGTAGACACTTTACTTACATTTAATGTGCTTTCTATGGACATAAAATCAATTTTGTAAATTGATTTTGATGCGGACATCTTTGACCCACATACATACATACATTAAAATAAAAATAAAACTTTGTATTTTTTTAAATATTTATTTTTAACTGTTCATATGCTTACGAAATTAATCCTAAATAATTCCTTGATACTTTTTCCCCAGTCATGTTTAAATTAAAGTCTGTCATGGACAAATTCAAGGACACATTAAAAACTTGGATTCCATCAATTATTCTCACACTTCTGTCACCTGACTGTGGAAATACTATAAAGAATACGAGTAATGTGAGTACTATAAAGACTACAAGTGAAAGTGTCTGATAACAGAGATGTTGAACCTACAACAATTTAGATGTTGAACCACTATAGGTTACACTTCCAAATTGTGGGTCTTTCGAATGTTGAGCGTCTTCAGTCATTTCTAAGCAATAGATTTTGTGTAAGGTCTTTCTATCTGTTAAACACTCTGTCTCTCACCTGCAGTGAAGCGAGCCTCCTTCTCTCCATCACTGAGGTCGCTGTATGCGTCATTCTCCAGCTTGCGCTCTTGTTGGAGGTGCAGACTGGAGGTACGTCCCGTTCCACTGCCCCCCACGCCCACCGTCTGCATGCCCCAGTTCTGCCACTCAATCATGTGGGCCACACGCCCCTGGGCCATCGCTGTCGGCTTTGTCACCTTGTCCTTCATAGAGCGAGACACTCCTGATGCGGACGGACAGACAGAGGGTGGATGATGGCATAAGAAGGCAGCGAGAGAAGGTTTTTAGATTATGGAGAGAAAGGGGGGAAAAACGAGAAGAGAAGAAAATTAAGTAGCTTTACAGTATGAGGTCACCTGCTCAGAGACTATATGGGGTATATGGGTGGATGTAACATGGAAATTGGGAATAGTGTGCTATTGAATAATGTGCTCAGAGGTTGCGCTACAAATATTACCAGAGGCAGACAGTAGTGAAGTATTTTTACTCTGCTGTAAAAGTACTTTCAGATGTCTGTACTTTTTTTGAGTGTTTTTCTTTAGAAAACTTTACTTCACAACATTCCAAAGCATAATATTGTACTTTTTACTGCACTACGTTTCATATTAAATATAATTTAATACTTAATTACATTAGAAATCTATTACTTTCTTACTTTTACTCAAGTAAAAGTAATTCAAAGATTTACTTGAGTACAAGAAAGTACTAAATTTTTTATATTCTTAAGTATTAAAGGTAAAACAAACAACAACTTTTATTTATGAAATGTAGTGCAGTAAAAAGTATGATATTATGCGTTGGAATGTATTGAAGTAAAAGCTTTCCAAAGAAAAACACTCTGATAAACTACAGATACTTTTTAAATTTACTTGAGTAAAGTAAAAATAATTCACTACTGTCCGCCTCTGAATATTACCCGTTAGCTACTCTTACAGACTGAGTTACAAAGTGCCCATCGTTATTTATTTTTATCTGTTGTGATTGTTTTAGTTTCGTTAATTATTATTATCAGAGGCGGACAGTAACTAAGTACATTTACTTGAGTATTGTACTTAAGTACACTTTTTGTGTATCTGTACTATTTTTCTTTCTTTCTTATCACTCTGTATTTACAGGATTTCACTGTCCACTCTGTTCAAATGTGGATGAATGGCTACAAATAGATGTGTGCACACACTGTCAGAGCTGTGTGAGCTCACTACCATCCTGCTTTTGTGGGGGTGGGGTGTTCAATTTTTTTTGTTTTGTTTTGTTTTTTTCCCCATAGGTTTTTAACATTCTAAAAGCTCTTTATTCCAAATATACTACAAGCTAGTCAGTGTATTCAGTAGGTGTAATGTATTCTAAGTTGCTTCAGAAGTATTGCAAGTACTAGTACGTACAACAATAAAACAGTGCATTGACATAAAAAATGAAATTTACTTTTGGTACTTAAGTACTTTTAAAAGCAAGTACTTTTGTACTTTTACTTAAGTAAAAATCTGTCTTTACAACTTTTACTTGTAATGGAGTAATATTTGACCAGCAGTATCTGTACTTTCACTCAAGTAATGGAGTTGAGTACTTTGTCCGCCTCATATGAAAGTATGCCATATCACCGTGATATAACCAAAATTAATATTTTCAATAATTAAAAATTACATAATTGTTTTACATAATGTAGCAAAAAGTAACCAATTATGCTACATCTTTATGCAGAATAACTTGTGAATGTAGCTGTCAGTTTATTTTAATGTACTAAAAAATAAAAAAATAAAAAGGTCACTTTGATGCTACTCTTTCAACTTCAGGAACTAAGTTTTTTTTTTTTTTTTTTTTTTACTGAGAGTGCATGAATTTACATGAATTTTCCAGTCTTGTGATTTACTGGATAACGATTAAGGGTAAAAACTTTTTAAAAGATTTTTTAAAATGACAATTTCTACCCAATAAAATATTTTAGAGCTTGGCGTAACTAGAAAAAAAATTCCAGGTCTACAATTCTCACTTATAAAATGAGGTAAGATTCTAATAAAATTAGTTTCTGTTAAAATGATGAAAAGAATTTAAAATTTTAAATTATCCTTTAATATTTACAATTTATACAGCCAACGCAACCTCTCCATGTGCTGTGTTATAATGTTTCTGTTGGTGATAAGTATGTGTAGAATTTAGTTTGAGGTAAGGAAATGAAAATGACTTCCATAATGAGATGGAGAGTAATTAGAGTAGTTGGTTATGGTCTGGAAAAATAAATAATCAAGTTTTAGTGACAAGGGATAGGAATTTGTCTTGCTGGAATTGCTGTCTTTCCACACTAATAAAGATCTACGCACAATAATAGCCTACACTTTCTCCTGCATTTTCTTTACTAGTTTCCGCTTTTCCAATTCAGTGAAGCTATGTTTGTGATATACTCAAGCCAGGCTGTAACGATCTGTTTGAATACCAGTAAATTCTGTGTGGAGCCTTTATTTAAGATACTGAGAAAAAAATCAATTGCTCTTTGCCATTTAGACAGAATCTATATATCCTTTTTTTTTTTACCAGTACATTAGTGCAAACATACAGAGATAATTCAGAGATCTCTCAAGCTCTTAGGTAATATCTAATGAAATGATGAACATGAACTATTAAAGTTGAAGAAAAGGATCTTTCAGAGAAGGATATACTTCACTGCACACAACAGTACTACAAAAACACAGATACAGGAGTCTGAGAAACAACAATATTACAAGACAACACACTGACTGATCTCCGCACTTCACAAGCACTTTACATACAAAAACCTGCCTCTCCCATCAACCACCACTTAGGAAAAAATGAAAAGCCGTATGACAATGCATTGTGGGAAGCATATCGCTTTCTTTCCAGGGATCTATTCTTATTTGGATCTTGGAATTCACCAATGGCATGAGCCATTGGAGAGTGTTGTAAATGGAAACGGGAGGTGAAAAGGGAATCCCACAAGGGTCCATGTTGGCTCCATCTCCTCCAGCTCAGTCTGGAGTCAACATGGGGTCAGTTTACCATTTCACAGGACAGACACACACCTGACACACCTGTCAGAGAGGACTTAGCCAGAGCGCCGATTCCATAGGCGTTGGAGTTCCGCTTCTTCAGCCGAGGGAGGATTGAGGTTGTGTCCTCCATGGACAACTGAAATGAAGGAAGGCATTCAAGAGAGAAAAATGGGACAGAAAATAGGAAAGATGAAGAAATAGATAGTTTTGATGAAGCAGGAGACGGCCCAGAGCAGAAATGAAATGCAAAATTTTGAGCGTGGCATTTTATGGAAAGGAAAGAGGTGATGAAAGAAGTTAAGTAGAAAGTTAGCAAAGTGGTTTAGAGCGTGTGGAACTACATTTCCCAACAGCCTGCTTCTTAATTTCTGTCCATTTGCATGATGGGAAGTGTAGTCTTTTGTCACTTACGTCTGCAACAAAGTCTAACTACTAGAGCACACCGACAAGTCACCGCAAAAGAGAGACTGATCAAAAGAAGGAATGGGGTATAGGAGACTGTGATTCAGAGGAAAATAACAAAAGGAAAGGAATGGAAGAATGATATTCACAACACTTACATTGATTCCATCCCATGAAAAGTCTGTTCGGCCATGCTGAGAGAGAGAGAGAAGGAGGGATGGGGAAAGAATAGACAGAATTGAAGAAAGAGGAGAAAAGAGCAAGAGAGACGGCCACAGAGAAAGGAGGAGAGAGAGGGGGATTGTGACAGAACAAGGCATTTTAAAAACATGTGATGTTGAAGGAGAAATTGAGAAATAAAAAAGAGAGGACATCAAATTCTGAGAAGCCGATTTATTGGCCGGACTAACAGAGAGGTGGAATAAAAGAAATAGTTCAGCCAAAAAATTTAATTCAGTCATACAACCTGATCTTCAGGTTAATTCAAACCTTTCTCGGCACTTTGAGGTACAAAATGACAAATACGGGTTGCTGTTTTCCACGCAGTTACAATGAACTGGAACTAAAACTTTTAAGCACCATGAACGTATCTTAAAAGTGGTCCGAACATCTAAAATGTCTTCTGAAACCATATGAGAGCTTTGTGTAAGGAACTGACCAAAATGTGTCCACTGATAAACTTCCTCTCCAGAGAGCTGTTACACCACGGTGATCTGATCATTGAGTCAGTGAGCTGAATCCAGAGAACTGGATCAGTCTAATTCTTAAATTAATAATTTAAATGATTCAAAGATCAGACTCAAAAGCAGGGGTCTCCAAATTCGGTCCTGGAGGACTGGTGTCCTGCAGAGTTTAGCTCAATCTTGCCTCAGCACACCTGCCTGGAAGTTTCTAGTATGCCTAGTAAGACCTTGATTCGCTGATTCAGGTGTTGGAGCTAAACTCTACAGGACAGTGGCCCTCCAGGAGCAGGATTGGACACCTCTGCTCAAAAGAACGATTTGTTGCTAAATTGGACTTTTCTATCTCCTCATGAACTCTCAAGAAGGCACCAAAGAAAGCTAGAGTGGGTGTGAATAATATGTCTTTAAAAAATGTTTAGTCTGTTCACACAAAAGCTCTCATGACTTGGAATATAGTGCACAAGTAAATTGGGAGACCTTTATGATAAAAATTACACATGATAAAGACGATACTACTTTTTTTTTTTTACATCCTAGAATACTTCAGTGAATGTCCATTGTGAAGGAATGGAAAAGAGCTAGACGATTATTTAAACATTTCTTCTTTTGTGTTACATTGAATAAAAAGAGTTAAGAATTAAGGTTGATTAGAATATGAGGGTGAGTAAATTTGTATATTTTTTTTATTTTTTGGTTGAATGTATCATTTAATTTTGTTTGTTTTATGTATTATCTGTAACAGAGTTTGATAGTGGCAAGACAATAACTAGATTTTTACATTTCTGAAATATATAAATAAATAAATACATAACAAGATGTGAGAGATGCCACAAAGGTATTGCCAAGGGTGTTTCTATGCGTTTGCTAAAGTATTCTTGTTTTAGCACATGACTGTTTGCAACATGTTCTAT